GTACTAAGTCACCAATGAGCCAGTTATGAGCACTACTTGTCTTACCTGATTACCCTTTTCCTTGATTTAAAAAAAAAATAGTTTGTTATCTTATATTGCTGTTACTAATGTCAATAACATTATAGTAATTATAAAGTCTATAATAAAAATAATACCATTGATATTGATAGCATTTGTAAAAAGATAAAGTTTTTCCTGCAGATTCAAGGAAAGGTGAAATCGAGTAAAGTCACAAGGTCTACTAATTGACTCCTTTGTGCAGAGACGCTTCGCAAAAAATTTTTAAAATTGAGTACAGCATTTTCCTGGTGACATTCGGTTAACTAGTGAATGCTGGGTGTACCTTACCTTTAGTTATTTGTGTGTCTCGTCTACATAAATTTTGTAATGCATATTGTTAATGGAGCCTGCCTTAGTCTTCAACAGATTAATTTTCTTTCTTTTATTATATGATGTATGTATATGTTCCTGTGATATATTAATGAATTGGCTTTTTAGTAGTGTTCTTTCTCACATATTTTTATTAACTTGATTTGTTGGCATGTTAGGTTTGAACATGAATATAAAATATCCCTGCTTTTATTTGTTATTTCCATGTTTGTATATTTTATTGTTATTATTCTATAAGCCTGCTGTCTATATTATGATAATAAATACGTATAATACCAAATTCCTCTTGTTTACTTGGAATATTTATGAAGTTTAGCCAGTTTGGGTAAATGCTCAGATTAGATGCCTTCGCCAAGTTCTCTTCTCTGTCTCTCTCTCTCTGTCTCTGTCTCTCTCTCTCTCTCTCTCTCTCTCTCTCTCTCTCTCTCTCTCTCTCTCTCTCTCTCTCTCTCTCTCTCTCTCTTTTATTTTGGATTGATGCCCAGACATTTCTTTCCAGCTTTTATGCAGGGAAGGCAAATTCTTCTTACTCCACTCCTCACCAACACACTGACAAACCCTAGCAGTAAGGGAGACTGTGAGCTTAGATATTTCAGTTTAATTCTGCATGGCATGTTGGAATTGGTCTAAGCTTAAAGATAATCAGTTTGAATTCCATTTAACCCCCCACCCCCTTTCCACCAGACCCCAGTAGCACGGGAGAGCCGGAGCTCCCCTCAGCGCCCTTGTCCGTGGGCGAGAGGGTGCGCGTTGTCGTGAGTCTGGAGGAGCTGAGGACGCTTCAGGAGGGTCATGGTGGATGGAATCATAGGATGGCCGAGGTGTGTGTTTTTTTTTTTTTTTTTTTTATTTATTTATTTATTTTTGTGTGTGTGTGTGTGTGTGTGTGTGTGTGTGTGTGTGTGTGTGTGTGTTATGAATAGTTTAGATGTTTTTTTTATTGTCTTTTTTTTGTTTTGTTTTTTGAGACAGTTCAGGACGAAAGCATTTGTTCCCTTGAGTAATGATAAATAATATGTTGGCAGATCTTGTAAATTCAGAACAGATGGACTTTGCCTCCTTCAGTTATATAGATATATACTGAACAAATATAGAGAATGAAAAATAGCTAGATGTATATTGAAATAATATTAAGAATGAAAAAATAAATTATTGAAAACATGATAATAATAAAAATAAAAATAAAAAGCAGACCTCAAAGCACATTAACCTCCTGTCTTGCCCTCTTACAGTGCCTGGACAAAATTGGCATAGTCCACCGCATCACGTGCAAGGGCGACGTGCGCGTGCAGTACGAGGGCTACGCCACACGCTGGACCATCCACCCACGAGCACTGGCCAGGGTCACCACCTACACCCCTGGCGATGTTGTGGTGGTCATCAGTGATGTTAATAAGGTCAAAGAATACCAGAAAGGTCACGGGGAATGGATTGAGTATATGAAGAGTGTAAGTTCACAAATACAGTTGCAATAGTATGAGGAATGATGGTGATATGAATATTAGAGCTGATATAGTAATAAGGGTAGTACTAGTGATAATGGCAATAATAATTTAAAAAATAATGATTATAAAAAATAATAAGGATGATAATATTAATGGTGATGGTGGTGATGGTATTAGAGCTATTAATTATTAGATTATTAAATGTTTCTTCACACCCATACTCTCACGGTGTCAATTTCTTCCTTCGTCTCACACTCTCCCTCCCCTCAGGCTCTCGGTAAAACGGGTGTGGTGGCGCGTGTATACCCTGACGGCGACTTGAGGGTTAACATCGAGGGTAAGACGTGGACCTTCAACCCCCTGTGCGTCTCACTGGCTCCCCGCACGGCCGAGTACAACAACACCATGAGGGCTAATGAGAGAACAGAACACGCAGGTGAATTCGGAGGAGGATGTGGCATGTTGTGTTTTTCGAAGTTTGTGTCTTGTTCGTTTGGTTTGAGTTATAAGTTTTAGGTGTGTTGTGTTGGGTATTTGTTTTGGTTGTAAGTTGTCCTGTGATGGTTGTTTTAGTGGTTTGCATACTTCATTATTTTTGTTTAATGATTTTTTTTGTTTTGGTTATTTCATCTGATTGGCAGACTTGTAAGGGAATTCTCAGTTCAGAGGATAGCACAACCACAATTTAATTAACTGCATGCATTTTTTTTGTCTAAAATTGTTTTCTGAATTGCTTTTCCATTATCTTTTACCTGCTAATGATGGTTAGGTTTTTCTAAAATAATTATGTTTTTCGTTTTTGATAATCATATTTTCTTTCTTAACTTTATTGTATGTACAGATCTACTACTAGCACACTTTTTCATTTACTCTTTTTCTTTCCTTCTCCCACAAAGGCCCACTGGCATCAATACTGCACCAGCTGTTAGATACAGAGCAGGATAGTTCTGTGGTGGACCAGCTGGTGAGGGAAGCTGCACAAGGACATACGCAGGCTGTCTCACATCTCCTGGCAAAACATCCTGACAAGGTGGGTACATCTGGGACGTCCAAGGGAAACGGAAATTTCTGTGTAACCCGAGTAGGTGGGTTGTTTGGGTTGGTCTCGTTCAAGTGGGGTTGTGAGTTATTTTTCTTATTTGCTCTGATTTAAGAGGATGTTTATAGCAAACACTAGTATGTAAAGAGTATTGAGTTATGACAAGGGAAAGGTAAATTTCTGCGTAACCCGAGTAGGTTGCTTGTTTGCGTTGGTCTCATTCATTCAAGTGGGGTTGTGGGTTATTTTATCTTGCTTGCTTTGATTTAAGAGGTTTATAGCAAACACTAGTATGTAAAGAGTATTGAGTTTTGACCAAGGGAAACGGAAATTTCTGCATAACCCAAGTAGGTGGGTTGTTTGGGTTGGTTTCGTTCAAGTGGGGTTGTGGGTTATTTTTTCTTGCTTGCTTTGATTTAAGAGGAGGTTTATAGCAAACGCTAGTACGCAAAGAGTATTGAGTTTTGAATTTTTTGCTTTCGTGTGTCTGCAGTAAGAGCTGAACTTTTCCTTCAGGGATTAAAATAGCGCTTTATAAAAACAAACAAACAGAAAAATACCATGACTCAGTATTTTTTTTCTTTTCTTTTTTCACCTTTTTAATTGTGAATTAATAACCTTTTCCATTCCACTTGTAGGTGGATGGGCGTAGTTCCGGGAAGACGTGCTTGCAGGTGGCATGCCATCAGGGCCATATGGACATTGTGCGTCTCCTGCTAGACCACAAGGCGTCACTTGAGATTGCTGACGATGACGGCGATGTGGCGCTGCATTACTCGGCTTTTGGGTGAGGGAGTGTTGTCATACCTGAACAGAAATGTAGTTTTTCTCCCCTTCATTCATTCATTCTTATATTTCTTCCTGTCTTTCTTTCTTCATTCTCTCAGGCCCTGTCATTTTCTCCTTTGCTCCTTCCTTGCTTATATATCCATCCCGCTGCCCCTCTTTCCCCTAGGCTCTTCCTCTCCTTCTCTCCTATTCCTTCCTCTCTCCTTCAGTATCACATCTTTCATTCTCCTCCTTCCCCCTTTCTCTCCCTCTTTTTTTCTATAAACCAAACAGAAGACAAAAGAGTGGATGGTGATTTGAAAATTTGATTCACTAAGAAAAGTATAGGAAAAACAAGAAAAATATAACAAAATATATATAATAGATAAACAAAAATAAAGTGAAAACTCACAGCAAATAATACTGAGAACAAAAATAACAACTAAATGAATAAATGACTCTTCCCTCCCAGCAACCAACCTGAAATCATGGAGCTGCTCCTACGCAAGGGGGCATCTATCAACGTGGTGAACGAGGGCAGGTGCTCGGCCCTCCACGTTGCCGTCAATAAGCAGCACGCAGCATGTGTCAAAGTGCTGCTCAAGTACAGCTGTGATGTCAATGTACAGGTGAGGAAGCGGGATATTATGTTTTCATCATTACAGTCGTATTAATGTAATTAGCTTTGTAATACATGATTTTTTTCATAAGTGGTATTGCTTTGTTACTATGATTTGTACTTTATTATTTTACTATTTTAGGTATTGTTGTAGTGACAATTACTTCTAGAATAAATATTATTGCTAATACCATTGATCTTCTTAATACCACTGTTATATTTATCAGTATTACTATTATTGCCTTTGTTGTGTTCCACATTACGATGGCCATTATTCTCAGCAGCATTATCATCAACTTAATCACCAAATATCATCACCACCGTCACTGCTTCACAATCCGCACTTCCTTCCCAGGACTCCTACGGTGACACGGCATTGCATGATGCGATTGGCAAGGACAGCATCGAGATCCTGGAGTTGCTCGGAAACTCGCCGCACCTCGACCTCAACCTGCGCAACAAGAGGGGCTTCAACGTCCTCCACCATGCGGCGCTTAAGGGGAATAACTTGTGAGTTTTAAGGAGAAAGTTTTTTTTTTTTCTTAGTTTTTTTTTTTTTATTATTATTATTTTTTTTTCTTCTTCTTCTTCTTCGTCTTCTTCTTCCAAAGAAGGGAGATTGCTGGAAGGACTTAGGTGCTGTTTTTGTTTTATTGATTTGTCTTTTATATTTGTTTTTATTTTTTTGTGGGGGGGGTGCAGATTGCCTACACTATTTTTGTTTTGTTGTATACATGGATATGATTATGTTTTTATTTTTGTAAAATTTAGATCTGAAAGGTCCAGGCAAGTGTTAGTTGCTGGTTTTGGTTAGATACAGTGGACCAGTGTTCTTCAAACTTTTTACATTACAACCTAATTATATTTTATGTCAAAGGTCCAGGCAAGTGTTAGTTGCTGGTTTTGGTTAGATACAGTGGACCAGTGTTCTTCAAACTTTTTACATTACAACCTAATTATATTTTATGTCATGCACTCAAACCTTGTTGAACATCAGTTGTAATCAAGTTAGTAGTTTTTACACTGTTTTTTTTTTTCTAAAAATCTATTGCTATATAAATTATTATTTTTCCATTTAATAGACATGACTTTTTCATTAATTAGTTGATTTTATTATTATTATTTTCTTAATGACTAGCTCTGACCCAAAAAACATAGGCACACAAGAAATGCTCTGAAAAACATGTAAATGATATGACAAAATTTTGTGAATAAACAGAGTAAATGGCAGTCATAGAAGATTATGAATGTGCTTTACCTTACCTTATATCACTTCATCACATTTTTGCGCATCTGTTGGTATTTATTAATGGAGTAAATCCCCCTTCACCTCACCCATCCACTTATCCCACCAACAGTGCGGCTGAGAAGCTGGTTCTTCGCTCGAGGCAGTTCGTAGATGTGCGTAAGGACGACGGGTTTGCAGCTCTCCACCTGGCTGCCTTAAACGGACACCGACAGGTTGCGGAGACGCTCATCACCCTCGGCCAGGCTTCTGTCGACATCACCAACAACAAGAAGCAGACGCCCCTCCTCCTCGCTGTGTCGCAGGTGTGCATGGGGAGACCTGGCCTTGTCGTAATCCTGCCTATGTCTCAGTTATCTTTTTTTCTGTCTCGGTGTTCCCTCTAGGTTTCTTTATTCATACTTGGTGGGAAGATGTGTGCATAAAGTGCTTTGGAGGATTTTTGTTAAGAGTTTAGCTGTGAAGGATTTTTGTTAAGAGTTTAGCTGTGAAGGATTTTTGTTAAGAGTTTAGCTCTGAAGGATTTTTGTTATGAGTTTAGAAACATTTTGGGGAATGTTAATGTGACTTCTTTCTGATTAGGAATTTTAACTTTAGATGTCTTATTATATAGTATGTTAAATTTGAATACTTTATTATTAAGAATGTTAGTTTTGAACACTCATCTTTAGTAGTGTTATCTCCGAATACCTCATTATATTTGTTGACATTGAGAACCTTGTTATGAGGAATATTACTTCTTTAAATTCAAACCATTATATAGGTGCATTATAAAACAATAAACAATAAATCACTTTCCTTTTTTTTTCAACACATTAAGTTCGTCTTGCATTTATGAAGTTGTATATTACTAAATTCTTAAACAACCACTCCCCACTCACCAGGGTCATTGCGGTGTTGTTGAGCTCCTCGTGGACAGCAACGCCGACGTACGGGCATGCGACGAGGACGGGGACACGGCACTCCACTTGGCGCTCTTGAAGAATTCCACCACAACGCATGCCCATCCCTCTCATGCCCCAACCATTACGCAGGTAGGGTGGTTTTATGTTTGATTTTTTTATTTAGGTTCAGGGATGTTAACTCTTTTTCTTGTATTGCAGTTAGTTGTGAGGTTTCGTAATATAAAGCGAAGAGTATTATTTATGTGGGATTGATTTATAGCCTGTGCATGTTGCTTTTAATATGTGGTCTGTTTCGTCACTTTATTATTAGTTTTTTCTTTTTCTTTTTTCTTTTTTTTTCTTTCACATTTCTAACAATTTTTCTCCCACCATTCCCCCCTTCCATTAGATCCTCAACAACATCTCCCAGCGAGGCTTTGAGAACAAGGTGTCCCTGGCCGTCGCCTGCTATCTAGTGCAGAAGGGTTGCAGCATCACGGTCGCCAACAGCCGCTCGAAGACGCCTCTCGACCTCATCAATGACACCAACACCATTGACCTGTTGCAGAGCTATTCCACGCAGGCTAGGTAAGGATAGTGGGTGGGGGTAGAAGGGAGGGTATTGTTGCTGTGTGAGGAGGAGGGGACTGGACGTTATTTTGTTTTTTAATTTATTTGTTTATTTGTCCTGATATTTTATTATTGCTGTTACTTTTTTTTTTTTCTTCTTTCTTTTGTGTGTGTATGCTTGTGTGTGTGTGTGTGTGTGTGTGTGTACGTACATCTGCTTTCATATGTGTCTGCATGCGTGAATGGGTGTTCTCTCGCAAATTATAACAGCAGTGATAATAGTGAAATCATTTTAGATGTTATTTGCCATTCTTCTGTTTATCCTTTTTTACGTCCCCCCCCCCAATGCAGCAGTGCGGATACGATGGCCCGTGTTGACATGGACCTGAAGGCGTTGGACTTGGCAGCTGAGAGCATTCGCCACGGCAGCAGCGTTGGAGGTGGCATCCTGGACGGTCCTGCATCCTCCTCCTCGTCATCTGAGTCCCCGTCAGGAGGCTCCTTCGCCGGAGGAAACAACAAGCCCCAGTCGGTGTCCCAGCCTGTGAGCCCAGCCAAAAGCCAGGGCGAGCCAGTCATGGTGCCCGGTACTTCTGAGCCCATGAACAACTGTGACATTGAGAAGGTATTAGTTTTTTTTCTTTTCTTTTAGTTTCTTTTCTTTTTTCTTTTCTTTTCTTTTCATTTTTCGTTTCTTTCCCTTTCTCTTCTTTTCTTTTCTTTTCTTTTCCTTTTTTCTTTTCTTTTCTTTTCTTTTTCTTTTTCATTTTCCTTCTTTCTTTTTTTCTTTTCTTTCTCTCTCTCTTTCTTTCTTTTTCTCGTAAGGAGAGGTTGGTGATATCAATTATTCCCTCTCCCTCTCCCCTCCCTGTCATAAACCCATCTCTTTACACAAATACAAAATCTCCGAAGGCATTTTCTATCTATCCATCTCCTAACTTGAACGAAATCCCAGCAGATTGTAGAGACAAAGGACGAGTGTTCGATTTGCTTGGAGTGCCCAGCCACGGTGAGGTTCCAGCCGTGTGGGCACTGCGTTACCTGCGAGGACTGCTCCACGCGCGTCAAGAAGTGCTTCCAGTGCCATGCAGTTGTGCTGACCAAAGTTACAAAGGGTTAGTTATGCTTACTATGTTTGTTTATTTATTATGATAAATAGAAATACTGATAATGATAATACTGTAATCATAATGGATGTATATATATTTTTTTCTAGGACTGATTGGGTGTTTTTTTTTTTTTTTTTTTTTTTTTTTTTTCTATTTATATTTCATGTGTAAAATAAATGCATTGAGCATCCTGAAAAAGTGGAAATAAGTTGAGAAAATCCAAATCCAAAATTACTCTGACCTGGAAGCAATGGCCAGAATGTCACTTCTCAACTGTTAGTTAAAGCTGTGTTTGCCAGCTGTAACTTTGTATTTACTTTTCCTTTACCCTGATCTTTTTTTTCCTTTCGTGGTTTAACATAAAATGACTAAAGGATTATCTTGAAAATGCAGTGCTCATGCCGATAACCAGACTTTCTAAAAGCGATCGTAACAAAACCTCTAATGCCTGTTTCCCTCCCCCCCCTCCAGATGGCCGGACAGTCTCCAGCAAGGCCCGGCAGCCATCCGCGGAGAGACTGCGCTACCTGGAGACCAAGATTGCAGAGATTGAGGAGGCCCACTGTTGCAGCATCTGCCTGGAGCGCCGTCGTAGCGTTGCCTTCCTCTGCGGGCATGGGGCGTGCGTCATCTGCGCCCAGACGCTGAAGACGTGCCACATGTGCAGGAAGCCCATTTCGAAGAAGATTAATCTCTATTGATAATAAGGGGTTGGAGTAGGGTGCAATTTTTCTTTCTTTTTTTTTGTTTTTTGTTTTCTCTCTCTCTTTTGTGTTTATAAGAATGTCTATGTGATGCTGATTTTAGACCCTCTTTGGAGTGTTCTTGTTCTACAGGAGGATCATATTGAAAGGAAAAGGATTTTCTGATATCAGGGCATATATTATTCTATTTTTTTCAAGGTCTACACTAGGACCTTCTTGTGAAAGCCTTTTTAGTGTTAAATTTAAAAAAGAATATTATTCGTTGCCAAGAGGAAAGGAAAAATAATATGTACTGCAAGCTCTCCAGTATAACAGAAGGACATTCATTATTAACACAATAAAATGCAGAGTTGGCAAAAGTACTTCATTCAAAGGAAATGGAAGCATACATACATATATACATACATACACACGGACATTTCATATAATGTGTACATTCAGACATGTGCAAGGAGTGTTACAGTGGTGTATTGTGATTGCAGTAAAGGAATGGTCACTTAATGATAAAGATTTGTACTTGTAATGCAAAGTTATGTCTGCTTGCCCAAAAGTGTCAGTGTTTACTGCACTGTATCATTTAGACCTGTGTAGTACATTACTACCTTGTATATATTGTAGATTTGAATTATGTTCACCCCCACTGTCATTCATAGTATGTTTACATTTTTTGGTCACTTCATTTAATTATCATTGTTTTTCTTCTAGTCATTTCCACTATGAAATGATGACCCTGTTTTCTGCTAGATTTTTATTATTATTATTTTTTTTTAACACCTGAGATTATGCTATCAGGATTTTTTTTTTGTTATGGAGTATATACCTCACCCAGTAATTGTCTCAGTTTTTATTTTATACCAGGTTATTTCTTCCCTTCTTTCCTTTTTCTTGAGATAATTTTTTTTGTATTCTTGATTTTCCCCACTTTTTCCTTTTGTTTTTAGTTATTTGGTTTCTTCTTTCATTATCCTCTTGTTCCTTTAGTCTTTTCTTCCGATCCCTCCTTCCGTCTTCTTTGCGCTCTCCAGACTTCCCACGTGGAGGGAGGAATTGCAAGTGAAGCGAGCACGCAAGCAGGCAAGCCCACGTCAACCAAGACCCTAGGGACGGGTAGTTCACTCTGCGAGGTATCTAGACATTAGACGGCCAGCCTGTTCTCCCCCTGTTATTGTGCTGCCATCCAGTGCTACTTGGTGCTGATATTGTGTAGATAAGGAATCTCATACTAAGGCGTAGAAAAAGGTTTAGATGAAAATGAATGATTCGCAAAACGTGAGACGTAATTCGCGCGTATTTATTGAAGATGTCATTCTCGAGAGGAGTTGAAAAAAAAACAGGGCATGTTAGTGACATAGCTGACAATGTGAATGTTTAATTCTCATTGAAACTTTCTTTTCTAGAATCTTATTCAAAACCAGTGGAGAGCACATAGATGTTTAATGCAGAAATATTCCTGTATTGACCCCCCCCCCTCCCCCAAGTTTAGATACAGGTGCAAATTGAAATGGATTTATTATTTAATTTATCTCACAAGGGAGAGAGTTCAGTACTGCCTCAAAATTTGTCATGTATGTGTCTGTATAATTCATGAAGGTCTAAGAAGAACATAAATGGCACAAAAGTAAAAGTTCAATAGAAAATATGTATTTTTATTCCTTTTTTTTTTTTTTTTTTTTTTTTTTTTTTTTTTTTTTTTTTTTTTTTTGTTTTTTGTTTTCTCTCTCTCTTTTGTGTTTATAAGAATGTCTATGTGATGCTGATTTTAGACCCTCTTTGGAGTGTTCTTGTTCTACAGGAGGATCATATTGAAAGGAAAAGGATATTCTGATATCAGGGCATATATTATTCTATTTTTTTCAAGGTCTACACTAGGACCTTCTTGTGAAAGCCTTTTTAGTGTTAAATTGAAAAAAGAATATTATTCGTTGCCAAGAGGAAAGGAAAAATAATATGTACTGCAAGCTCTCCAGTATAACAGAAGGACATTCATTATTAACACAATAAAATGCAGAGTTGGCAAAAGTACTTCATTCAAAGGAAATGGAAGCATACATACATATATACATACATACACATGGACATTTCATATAATGTGTACATTCAGACATGTGCAAGGAGTGTTACAGTGGTGTATTGTGATTGCAGTAAAGGAATGGTCACTTAATGATAAAGATTTGTACTTTTAATGCAAAGTTATGTCTGCTTGCCCAAAAGTGTCAGTGTTTACTGCACTGTATCATTTAGACCTGTGTAGTACATTACTACCTTGTATATATTGTAGATTTGAATTATGTTCACCCCCACTGTCATTCATAGTATGTTTACATTTTTTGGTCACTTCATTTAATTATCATTGTTTTTCTTCTAGTCATTTCCACTATGAAATGATGACCCTGTTTTCTGCTAGATTTTTATTATTATTATTTTTTTTTAACACCTGAGATTATGGTATCAGGATTTTTTTTTGTTATGGAGTATATACCTCACCCAGTAATTGTCTCAGTTTTTATTTTATACCAGGTTATTTCTTCCCTTCTTTCCTTTTTCTTGAGATCATTTTTTTTGTATTCTTGATTTTCCCCACTTTTTCCTTTTGTTTTTAGTTATTCGGTTTCTTCTTTCATTATCCTCTTGTTCCTTTAGTCTTTTCTTCCGATCCTTCCTTCCGTCTTCTTTGCGCTCTTGAGACTTCCCACGTGGAGGGAGGAATTGCAAGTGAAGCGAGCACGCAAGCAGGCAAGCCCACGTCAACCAAGACCCTAGGGACGGGTAGTTCACTCTGCGAGGTATCTAGACATTAGACGGCCAGCCTGTTTTCCCCCTGTTATTGTGCTGCCATCCAGTGCTACTTGGTGCTGATATTGTGTAGATAAGGAATCTCATACTAAGGCGTAGAAAAAGGTTTAGATGAAAATGAATGATTCGCAAAACGAGAGACGTAATTCGCGCGTATTTATTGAAGATGTCATTCTCGAGAGGAATTGAAAAAAAAGCAGGCATGTTAGTGACATAGCTGACAATGTGAATGTTTAATTCTCATTGAAACTTTCTTTTCTAGAATCTTATTCAAAACCAGTGGAGAGCACATAGATGTTTAATACAGAAATATTCCTGTATTGACCCCCCCCCCCCCCCCAAGTTTAGATACAGGTGCAAATTGAAATGGATTTATTATTTGATTTATCTCACAAGGGAGAGAGTTCAGTACTGCCTCAAAATTTGTCATGTATGTGTCTGTATAATTCATGATGGTCTAAGAAGAACATAAATGGCACAAAAGTAAAAGTTCAATAGAAAATATGTATTTTTTTTATTCCTTTTTTTTCATCTTTCCATCATAAGGTAGTAGAAAAAAGATGAGTACTCAGCATCAGGGGGTATAAAAACTCAGAATAACATGAACTGAATTTGAGAACGCAGATGCCATAGATAATTTTAAATAGTTGGTTAAGAATTTGAGATCCATATCGGTAGCAATAGGTATATACCATAGTTGTATGAAAAATGTACAGCTTTTGATAGGTTATGAACACTTGTGTTGAGAAGAGCTTCACTTAAGGCAGAGATGGTAATAGCAAATTAATTTCAGGCATGAGACAGAAATGAACTCTCTCTGTTGCGATGGACAGAAGTGAGAAATAGTAGGATTTTTTTTCCTTCACGTATGCATGAGTTGCTAGCTCATTTGCCTTAGTTGTTGCAAATATGGTTTGTCAGTGTTTAGATAGATGAGCAGCACCATTACAGTATAATAAATAGTATGTTGGACGTTGTGTTTTGTTTTTGGCTGTAATGTGTCTTGTGATATTTTATTGGTCTCTTTCTCTCACTTTCTCTTTGTGTTGCTGTTCCACACGTTCATATGCAAATATTGATATGTTGATGTGCATGTATTTCTGCTAGAATATATATCACTCAGTCAGAGAAGTAAGCTCTTCTGCAATGGTATTGTATTTAAAGAACATATCTGTAATATTCTTTCTGTGTAATGTAGCAATTCTGTTGGACATATTTTCTTGATGTTTCAGGATTACGGAGGAACTGAACATTACTTTATAATATTTTCTAAGGCCACAAACTGTGAATGGAGCTCAACATATTCTGTAAATTTCTAATCCTTACAGACAGTTTTGTATAGAAAAAAAAAATTAGAGAGACAGAGAGGGAGAAAAAAAGTTGATTAAACACTTTCTGATATGCATTTGTGTAGGGTCTCTGTGTACTTTGAGGAGTTTGTGGAAAGGAATAAGTGCACAAGTGAAGAAATCTGGTGCTTTTTTCCATGTATTAAGTTTCAGTGTTAAGCAAGAAGAGAGTCAGCCCATTTTAAATTTTGTATATGTACTGTATGGTTATATAATTTTCAGGTTATTTTTCAAAAAATGTGTTGCTGTTCTTGTACTGTCTTTGAACGTGTTTGCTTCAATTCCAATTATACTTGAGATAATTTAGATGCGAGTGTCTTTATATACTCACCTATTTTCTGAAGCTCTTTAGGTCCCTGCCCCAACAATTTCGAGCTCAAAAAAAAAAAATAATAATAATAAATAGATAAAAAAAATAAAGAAATGGAGGGGAAAAAAAAGCCATTTCGTTGCTGGCTGACACATTGCTCACTTCTTAGAATGATGTGCTTGATAGAGTAGCACATAGTTGACCATTACAGTAGTCTGTTTAATGATTATCAAGGAGAAATGACACATTAGGTATATTTCTTGCCGACAGCTTCTGGCCGTCCTCTTTCGGTGCTTGAATTAGACATTTTACCGCACACACAGTTTTGACTGCACTGCGCTTTGTCTATTTTTTCTCTCCCATGGAAATCAACCAAAACTCAGAAATCGCAAGCAGAACTTCTCCTTACGTCCACTTGTCAAGCACACATTTTTTTTATCAGTTTCTCTTTGCTGTTGTGGCATTCTTTGAAATGACGATGGTATAAGATTTTTCCCTCTTGTCTTGATCAAAAGAGTGTCCTGGGTTATTCAGTGGCTGTATAGAGTTTGCACTGTATAGGGTGGGGAAAGTGTAATTGATTGTATGTGAGGAAAGTTATTGTGTGTGAAATTTCTTGTACTAAATGAGGCATCTTGTGATACAATGTTTATAGGCAAAATATAACCTTCATTGCAAAATATTCTTGTGTCTTTTAAATATTAGATTCCACATGCCATATCAGTAAAATTAGAAGTGTTTTTGCAGATTTGACACTAATGATTGATGTAAATAGAGAGGAAATTTTGAATTTAACTATCAGTTAGTTTTCCTGATACAGAGTGTAATATTTTGTTAAGGGAACACTGTCTGTGCTTTTAAGATGTAATTTAATGAGAAATTGTTGTAAGATAACTTCATAATTATGGTGAAGCCAGAATTTTTAACATAATGTTTCAGAGTACAATAAGCCCCCTTCCCCCCCGAAAAAAAAAAAACAATTTTATATGGTATTACATAATGAAAACATACTTAGGAAATTACTATTATTATTTCTAAAGAGGAATTTCTACACGTAGACTTATATGATTACATTCTTTCTTTTTTCTTAGATAAATTAAAAAGCATCTTACAATGTCTTTTTTTCCGTCTTTGTGTTTATTGCAACATGATTTCAAGGAGGCATAATGTGTGTGTTTTGTTTTTATTGAGAATGTGGCGATGTGATTGTTTGTTAGTCTGTCCATACATTCCTTTTTTATACGTTTTATTCATTATTCATGTTTACTATTTTTATTAGTCATTAATTTCATGAATTCTCTGATTATTATTGTTGATATTATTATTATCTATTATTAATATCTATTATTATTATCATTATATTATTATTGTTATTAAAATTAATTACCATTATTATCATTATTAATTATTAATCAACATAACAATTTATATAATGGATAATCTATCAGCAATTACTTCATCCTTGGTTCTATAATGAGATGCATACTGCAGGTGCTAAACTTTATTGTAGGTTTGCATTTGACTGAGAACGACATTATAGGGAAAATATATGCGAGGGTAAACTGGGGCAGCTTGGCTTAGAGTGATATTTCATGCATTATTTATATTTTATACTTTTTTTTTTTGTAAGGGATACATAAATAACCAGTATTTTTTATTTGCTTTGTTTTCAGTGTAAGAATTACTGTTTTCTTTATTATTCATCTCTTACATTAGTAAGATGTCAGTATTGCGTTCAAGTATCTTTTCTTAATCTCATTTTCAAAGAAATAAA